CCCCCCTCCTGGCAGGGACTTGCAGAGCCAGAAGGTCCCCCCTGAGCCTCCTTTTCTCCAGGCTGAGCCCCCCCAGCTCCCTCAGCCCCTCCTGCTGCTCCAGCCCCTTCCCAGCTCCCTTCCCTTCCCTGCACACGCTCCAGCCCCTCAGTGTCTCTTCCAGGAGGTTCCAGAACTGGACACAGCCCTCTCAGGAAACGTGATGGAGTTTCCCCCTGAACTGATCCCAAAACCTGGGCCACCCCTGTGGGACCACAGTGAAAACATCACCAGCAACTGTTGGAATGTACAAATGTTGCGACAGCGAAAACAAATCACTGAACTACAAAAGTTAAAATGACAGCACAGAAGGACTTTCCTTCATCTCTAAAGCAAAGCTGGAACCAGTTGTGCCCCAGCTCCTCCTTGGGTGCCCAGTCAAAACTTCTGCACAAATCCGAGGCACAACTAACTTTGGTGAGCAGCTCTTTAAAGAATTACAAACTAAAAACAAGAGCAGCCATAGAAAGTGGAAGTTCTGAGGAGTTCACAGGAACGGGTTTATATTGGAAGGGAACTTAAAGGATCAACTTGTCCCAACCCTGCCATGGGCAGGGACACCTTCCACCAGCCCAGGGTGCTCCAACCTGGCCTTGGACACTTCCAGGGATCCAGGGGCAGCCACAGCTTCTCTGGGCAACCTGTGCCAGGGCCTGCCCACCCTCCCAGCCAGCAATTCCTTCCCAATATCCCATCTATCCCTACTCTCTGTCACTTTGAAGCCATTCCCCTTGTCCTGTCCCTCCAGCCCTTGTCAATAGTCTCTCTCCACCTTTCCTGGAGTTCCTTCAGGCCCTGCAAGGCCACACTCAGGTCCCCCCAAAGCTTCTCTTGTCCAGCTGAACAATCCCAGCTGTGCCAGCCTTTCCTCCCAGCAGAGCTGCTCCAGCCCTGGGATCCTCTTGGAGGCCTTCAAAGCTCTCAAATAAATACCCCATTTTCATCCCTTACCTGAACAGCCACCATCCTCACATGGGGGTTGCTCTTCATTCCAGGTTTACTTTTGCTTCCTTTTTCCACCTTAATACCCTGTTTACCATTTTCAGCCTCATCTGAGCTACCTGGAGCAGCCAAACTCTCTTTATGCACCGTGTCAGCCGAGTTCCCCGAGTGGGCCCCGGGGTTTTCACACGTTTGGGTTTCAGTTGGGAGGTGTTTTCCGACCGGAATTGCCGATTCCCAGTTATCCCGAGGAGCTGCAGGATCAGCATAAATATATCCAGGCTGCCTGGCAACACGTGGCAGGACAGGCACTGGGAAAGGCACAGGCAATATCCTCCTATATTGGTAACCCCAAGAGGTCTGAGGCACAAACACGGAGCTTTCCTTCAGTAAAATGTCCGCAATCAATGACTGGTTTTCCGTGGATTCGATGCTCTGGCTCTGCAGGGAATTCCTGGATCTCCAGGAAGCAGGGAAGGAACAGGGCAGGTACTGGAGAGTCTCGTAATTTAAGTCAGGTGGTGGGGGTATATGGGGTTGGACGGGGTAGGACTGGGGCTTGAATTCCTCAGCATCCGGATTTAACCGCAGGTTTTTCTGGGAATGATTTCCTGGCACGTCCCCATCTGTAGAACTTTCACTTCCGTTGGTGTTTCCCTCGAAAAGGACCGAGTGCTTCCTCAAGCCAATCAGATTATCCACCATAATGAAATGGAGGGATTTCAGGAGGAAAGATTCCAGGCCCCCTTGATCCTCCACAACCCTTCGAGTTCCTTCGGGGAAATTTTCATATTCCCCAATTAGTAATTTATTATTAATTTCCAGAGGGCCATGTTCTTCCAAGATTTGAGAGAAATACCTTTAAAAAAAGAAACTAAAAATTGTTATTTTTAATCAAAGTGTTTTGTTGTTTTTTTTTTTCATTTAATTCATTTTTCATTTAATTCTAAACTTGTATTTCAGTACCTGCATGGACACCCCAGACCCCCCCAAATTATGGATTTAATGCCATAAATGGCAAGAACTACCAAGTAAAATGAAACCCCTGAAGTTGCTAAGTACAAGAAATTTATACTTACCCATATAAGTACTCACAGATTGCATCTGGATTATTATTATTATTATTATAACTGTTACTATTTGAAACTTCATAGAGAGCTTCAAATTCCTCCAGTTGCTCCTGGAGATATTCTGGGATTACAAAGGGTTCATTTGTAAAATCTGTATATCTTAGAAAAAAAAAATAAATAAAAGAGAGAAAGTTAACCCAGACTTGGTGTTTTTAAGGGATTCTTCTCCAGCACTCTGGAGTTTTAAAAAAAAAAAAAAACCAGAAAAAGAGATAAGTGATGGTACTTACAAAGTATTTCCTTCTATAAATATCTTCTCTTCTTCTCGTGGGGCTGTACTAACTCCACTGGATAATACTAAAATAGACTGATGGAAAAGAGGTTGATTTGATTTATTTTTTTTTAATCTCCCAAAAATCACGTGCAGAAAGGATCCCCCTCTAAAGACCAGGAGTGAATTTGTTTGCACCCCGTTTTGTTCTGTGAATTCCCCCCCCAGGTTCTGAACTGCCAAACTTCGTGGACAATGATCATTTTAAATTCATTTAAATTTAATTCATTTAAAATTACTCATTTCTTCTTCAGAACTTCTTTTGGAAAGAAAGGCAATTGGGATGCTCAGCCTAACATCTTCCCCCCCTCCTTTTTTTTTTATCAATTTCATCAAAATTTAATCGATTTTCCTTTACATTGGAGGCAACTTCACCCCAGGCAAGTCTGAGTTCACCCCACATGGTTTAATGACCCCTGTTGCTCTCATGTTCACCATTACAGGCGTTTCAGATGTCTTTTAATTTTTATTATCTAATAACTTTAGAAATACAGGGCAGAAAAATAAAAACCTGGCTGATGAGAATAAGAGGAAAAAAAAAAATCCTAAAAAAAATCCTAATTTTGAAAGGGGTTTTAACAGCGATGAAGTGGTACCTGCTCAGCAGGATCTCCTTTAGCAGCTACAAAGTTACTCACCCTCGAGTCTTTCAAGTTCTTTTTCCTGTTTTTATTTTTAACTTT